CAAACATGTATATACATGTGCAGCAATCGCAATGAGTACGAATAGCTGCCAACGTAACAAAAAGAGAGCTCCTGAACTCCTGACCTGACTTACAATAATATCACAATCCCAGCCAACCATCTGCCTGCAGATTGCCGACAGATTGCCGGCAGATTCTGCCCTCTGGAGCAAAGTCTGCAGACAGATTGCCGGAAAGTTGCGTCCGCAATATGCCGGCAATTTTCCGGCAGGCCTGCCACCAGACCCTGGCCGCAGAATGACTGCAGGCCCTGCCGGCAGATCTGCTATCAATCTGGCAGCAGTTTGCGACAGGCACTGCCGGCCGATCTGCTATCAATCTGGCGGCAGTTTGCGACAGGCACTGCCGGCAGATCTGCCATCTATCTGGCGGCAGAAGCGCATCAGACGTGACATCAGCCGCTGGCGACAGAATAACTACAGATTGACTACAGATCCCGTCGGCAAATCTGTCATCAATCTGTAATCATTCTACCGTCAACCGTGATAGCATATCTGCCGCCAGAATGACGCCAGATTTCTTGTCAGAATGACAGCAGTCTATCGTACATTATGATAAAATTCTGTCAAATATTATTGTATATACGGNATATAATGGTCAATTACAAATTAGTAAGAGATGTGCGAGAACCTGAAAATTAGGTCAAGTCGCAACGAGGGTTTTTCTTATGATCGGGACGGATCTTTGAGAATCTTGACATCTTCGGGAATTTCCCAATTTTCGAGAATCCAACCCGGTATCTTTCCGTCCTGTCCCGATCAATGGGTTCTCGTACATCTCTACGAATTGGTCAACTTCGGCTACAATATTCCCACGCTCGTATTTCCTTTTTGTATGCGACATTCTGATGTTTATGTAAATACATGTCACACACTGGAATAATGTTTTTCTTTAACAAAAAAAAAAACATTTGGAAATATTTTGGTTTATATGCAGTCGTTTTTAATTAAATTTATTTTATAAAAAGTAATCAGCCTGAGGCTTTTTGCTAGGTATTCCTCGACTTTCTTGTGGTGCTGCTTCAAATATTGTGAATTCCCGTTGAAGATGTTCGTTTAATTCTAATATTGCAGCAACGTTGCCACATCTGTAAATCACATGTATTACGTTAAGAGAATTTGACAATAAAAACTTGAAATTTCTCCTCGTAACAATACGCACCTATAGCAATAATTAGGTGCTGACCAAACAGTCAAAACAGTCTCGTTAAAATGCCATTTATATCCTTCCATAACTAATTGATGCGCTCTACATATCATGTCAATATCATTTGCAGAATTGAACTGTGCTACGACATCGCTTCCAAAAAGGTAGCCTGCTCCGCGTGGCGAAACTCCCCAACCTTGAGTATCTTCAGGATCCGACCAAAGTAAATCACACATTGGGCCATCGTGTGGTACCTATGAAAAAATAATTTTTTCGTAAAAATTATTCACTCTCCCATAGACTTAAACCTTCCTTACATATGCGTAATCCTTACTTCTTGTTTTCTATCTATCGTTCTTATTTGATCAAGTGTTTGAATGCTTGGAGACAATCCACCATGAACACAAAATATTTTCCCATCGATTATAGCAGAAAGGGACAAATAATCGAATATTTCCGTACAATATCGCCAAACTGTAATACTGCCATATTTTCGAAGGCATTCGTCGTAAAAACCATAAACTTGTGTAATTTGTCTGGATTCATGATTTCCTCTTATTAATGTAATCCTATCAGGGTAACGAACCTGTAATTACAACGTATCCCTTATTTGCAACGGAGTATCATAAATTAATTATTCTATTGAAAGTATCGTAATGATAATAATCTGCTCAATTTGCTATCATAAGATGATTATATTTACTTTTAATGCCAAGAGAAGAAGGAATGTTTCAACACTATAAAATCCTCTATCAACAAAATCTCCCATGAACAGGTAATTTGTTTCTGGAACATCTCCGCCAACTTTAAACAGTTCTTTTAAGTCATAGAATTGTCCATGAATATCTCCACACACCTAAGGACGAAATAAACCTATTGCAAGTTTCAGTTATAACTCTTTAATTCTCCTATATTTATAAAAACCTACAGTAACCGGTGAGTCAACTCTTTGCACGTTACTTTCTTCAATAAGAATTTCACGTGCTTTTGCACAAAGAGCTTTAACTTCAGCTTCTTTGATAATCTCACATTTCTTTAGCTGTTCTATTTGCCGATCCAAATCACTCGAATCAGCCATCTTAGGAAGTAACAACCTTCATTAAAAATTTTAGCAATTAGATAAAAAATTACATCAATTAATAATGTTAACAGATATGAACTTCAAAGTGATAAATCAGATCTATTAATGTCGAGCATGCCCAAGTATTTCAAAACGTTCAAATATATTTGTTATTTATATAAATTCGGGATTATAGATTTATTATTTTCATTATTTCTTTAAATTATTTAACTATACAATGCCTTTGCAAAAATTAATTTTTAGATAATATTGGAATGATACAACCTAATAAATGAAAATCATATGCGGAGATGTGTTTTTATTAGGACGAAAATAATATTGACGAAACGTACACGCAATACAAGATACGATATGAAAGTAAATAATTTCAAGGAGAATGATAAACGTACCTGATCGTCTACGGAAAGCGAAGCTTGCACCGCTTAATAAACGAAACGCATCTATTGTGGTGCACGTGTGACTAAAATCCGTTACCTTAATATATTAAAACTATTTATCTAAAACTCATATGTATTAAAATGTATGACAAACGATGATAAACATTCAAAAAACTCATTTCAATAAATATCGAACATTACAATGTAACTGAATGTAACTGACATTAGAATCCGAGAAGCTGGGAATAAAAATTCGAGTGTGCTTAGGGCACTGATCAAACTAAACTGAGAAAAGAAATTTGAACAAATTCTTGTTTCTAGATTTTATTCTATAGTGATATGTTGAAAATTCTCCTTTATATTCCAGCTCCAGCTGTGGCATGGACTGTGGTCACGAACGTTGCACAGAGAGGAAATACTTTTAAGAATTTGCGGATTGAGATTGAGGAGGACGTTTGCATTTGCAAACTCGCATAAACTTATGTGCCAAACAAAAGCCGGTACGTCAACAAGGTCATACGTTTGTAGGTTTTCACCCACAGTTTTCGTTAATTATATTAACAATTAATATCATATCAATGAGAACATTAAGTATAATTAACATTCAAGTTATATAAAGAACGAAGTATTAATTAGAGGTAAATGTTCCTTATTAATTATGGTCATACATGGATTATTGTGAGAACATAAATTTTGAATTTTTTAAATTGTATTACAGGAAAGTGTAACAATGTCTCAGAATATTGCACATGATGTTAATAAAAAGCCAAGAACAAAGGACATTAGAATACAAGAGAATGTTACATTTTTCCAAATGGGATTTTCTCAAAAGATTTTGGACGGATTGTGTACATGTGGTTTTCAAAGGCCTTCTCCTATACAATTGAAGGCAATTCCATTAGGAAGAGTTGGTTTTGGTATATAAAATCCTTGTTTACTTTTCTTATATAATTTGAACGTAGATTAGAATTGTCCATAAGCAAATTAACTTTTCTGTAACTTCAGACTTGATAATGCGTGCTAAGTCAGGAACTGGAAAGACTTTAGTATTTAGTGTAATATCACTTGAAATGGTTGATATTGAGATATCATCTATACAAGTGTTAGTATTGGCACCTACTCGAGAAATTGCTGTACAAATTGCTCATGTCTTCTCATCTGTAGGTTGTGAAATTAAGGGTATGCAATTAATACTGCTTGTTCAATTATTTGAAATTACATTTTATAAGTGATATAAAATTGTTTTTTGTTAATTCAGGTTTAAAGGTTGAAGTCTTCATAGGAGGAATAGCTATAGAAGGGGACAAAAAGAAGTTAAAAGATTGCCATATAGCTGTTGGTGCGCCAGGTCGGATTAGACATTTGGTTGAAAAAGGCTTTTTAAAAGTTGATAACGTTCGATTATTTGTTTTCGATGAGGCGGATAAATTAATGGAAGTCAGTTTTCAAAAGGATATTAAGTAAGTATAATGAAAATATATACGTTGAGATTGTATAAAATGCAAGTAAATAATTTGTAACATATTGAATTTTCAGTTACATCTTCTCAAAATTACCATTGAACAAGCAAATTATAGCATCAAGTGCTACTTATCCTGGTGATTTAGAAACATTTTTACAAACCTACATGTGTTCCCCGGTTGTAGTATCTCCGGACAATGATGAATCAATACTTATCGGTCTCCGGCAATTTGTAACAATAGTCTCGTCACATCCGAATGCTATGAAACAGGTATAATTTATTTCTGTCGTGTAAAATCGTTTCGTTCCACGGTATACGTATATAAAAATATGTTCCAGGTTCAAATAAAGGTAGATGAATTGACAAAAATATTTTATAAAATTCCATTTAAGCAAAGTTTAGTGTTTTCAAACTATCAGTCACGGTGAGCGTACTTATAATTTATACTCTTCGAATAGTTCCCATTTGCATATTTGAAATAAACTCTCGTTTTACAGGGCTCAATCAGTGTGTAATAAAATTAATTCCATGGGATTACAAGCAACCTTTATTGCTGGAAATCAGGATATGAATAAAAGGCTCGAAGCCATTAATAAATTAAAAAATTTTAAATGTAGAATATTGTTGACGACCGATTTGACTGCGAGAGGTATAGATGCGGACAATGTAAATTTAGTTGTAAACCTTGATTTACCCGTAGATGCGCCAACGTACTTGCACAGAATAGGCAGAGCTGGACGTTATGGATCTTACGGAATTTCAATAACGATAATTGCAGAAAACGAGCTCGAAACGTTTCAACAGTTGTTAACGCACGTAGGAGGTCCAACGTTTTACGTATTGAAACTCCCTGCAGAGTACCCAGATGATATATGGTCTGTGCCTAGTACAGAATACGAAAAACTTTGCGCGAAATCAGACAGCAATGAAAATCAGATTGAGATTAATTCTGTCGCTGAAGTAAAAAATAACTCCACGACTGTTATCGATGCCGATCTACCGAATAAAATAAAGTCAGAGACGAATGAGACATCAGATGGCACAAACAAGGAAGATACGATTGACAAGAATTGTTCTAATGAGAAAGAAACAAAGAATGATATAGTTAAACACGTTAATGATCTCCATAATTCCCATTTACAAGAGCTTACCTTAGAAAAGATAGAAGTTAGTTCTTTATTTGTGGACGGCACTATCGTAATAAACAAGTTTGAAGATATTCAAGAAAATAAGAAAGTAGATAAGAAAAAGACTGCATCATATAGTTTGTCCAAACCAAAAGTTATACATACCTTTAAATTAGATTTTCCTGAAAATAATCTCTCTACTTGGCAGAAGAATAATGAAAATGTAGTATTCGAAGTTGATTTAACAGATGTTCAAGAAGACGATTTATCGAGCTGCGATATTGATATAATTACTGAATATGTGAAATATAATGTTGATAGTGAACATGTTGAAGAAAATTCTTCAACCTATGACGTGGATACTAATTCATGTCTTACTACTGTACCTGATGAAATGCAGAAGACTCATTGTATAGGAAATAACGGTCCGATTGATAATCTGACGAATAAAATTAAAAATGATGCGAATACAACATTTTTGAATGAACTGAATCATTATCTTGCGCATTATTATACAAAGAATTTGAATACAGTTCAGAGTAAATCATATTTAAATGATGAAGAAACAGTAAAAGAGGCGCTTAGTTGGAAACAGAAACTTGATTTTGAAATAAAACTGTTAGATAATGCACTGCAGTCAACGACGGAATCCATTCAAAAATTGATATACCAAGAACACTTTCGAATGCTTAGAATATTTTACAAAATACAAAAACAGGCACTCTTGTGCGTTTATCCAGAGATACGGAATGACGATGAAATAGACGATACTTATTCATACTGCGTAAGTTCCGGGGATTCGAATGTACTTCAAATGTATAAAACGATAGAAGATTTTAAAAGTATCCATCGAAGACCTGGAGAGAAATTTAAAGCATATTTTCCATATCCTGTTAAAGAAGACTCGTATATGCCGAATTTGATGATATCCGAAACTGATGCCAAAGATTATCTTAACGCTTTGCGATATTTACATTCGAACCCAGATCCCAGAAAGAAGTTATTAGAAATAATAGATTACGTGGCGTTTTTAGATGAAGCCAAACAACGTAGTATTCTAGAAAGACTAAAAAATGATTCCGAAATTATTTCAGTCGATGATTTACTGGCGAGAATAAAAAGTTTAGATTTAAACAAAGAAACAGAGGACAACTCTACGGAACAGCAAAGAGCTGACACTGATGAAACTGCAAATTTAGTTTCGCACAATGAGTCTCCTAATGCTGAAAATGTGAATAACATCAATGAGCAAAACGTAATTGTAAATGAAAACATAAGAAATAATGTGAGTAGCAGCAGTTCTAATGATTCAACGTTAACCGAATCGGATGATTCTATTGAAAAAGAATCTGTGCCTCGCGAAAATGTATACAGTAGCACATCAAGCACTCTTTCAAGTGAAAATAATGACGATAACAAATCTAAGGAAAAAGCATATGCGAAGAATAATTTTCGTAAATGCAGAAAGTTTTCAAAAAGAAATAAGCTGGTTAAAGATAAGGAACAATACTTATATGATGATACATTTGAATGTAATTATATTTCGTATGAAAAAATCGATAGACTATCCGATAACATTGATGAATGTGAGAAGAAATGTCAACCTCAGAAGCAATTAAAGTCATCATCGAAATCCGTGCGATGTAGCTTAAGCTCAATGAAGTCAAATTTGTACTCGAATAAAGAGGAGTCAAATATTCAGGAATCACGTGCATATAACGAACGGCAGAATTCTGATTTTTCTTCCAACAAAAATCAAAAGCCTGTAACGCAATATTACGCACCATTTTATAATTATACGAATAATGTTCCTTGTACTACTGAAACGGAAAATCATGCATGTTCTCTTAATAATTATTCAAATCCTTCTTTTTCGAGAAACACTTATCCATCAAATGAAAACGAAACGAGCGAAATTGAGCAGTTTTTATCATCTTTGAGGATTGAAACAGATCAATTTCATTTAGAATTGTACAAATCAGAAATGTTTCATAATTCAACAAAGCACGATTACGATTAATTAAAATGAATAAAATTCTACATTGGATAAGTAGTTGAAATTTGTGGATTTTTTGTCCATGAGTATCGATCAATATATAATTTAAAAGCAAGAATTGTTTTACTATATTGTAAATACGATATTATTGTACGATTAAAATGTTTTCTGAACTTTATTCATAGTTGTATTATTTTATAATAAAGATTTATATTAAATAATTTGTAGATAAATTATTCGATATTATGTATCACACATATAAGAATAAAAAAGTATAGATTTTATTTTTGCAATAAATCTAACAGTATTTATGTAATTTAAGTGAAAAATGTGAACGTGTTTAATCATACATTACACAATATTTCGTACTAGCAAAAATGTATTAATTGTTTATATTACATGTTTTCGAATGTCATGTGCCGGTCGTGAGTTAGGGGGATCAGGTTTCTAAGGCGTTTCAAGGGGACCAGATGGAGAAAAAAAAAACCACCTTACGAAACTCGTCTCGTGAGAATTTGGGGTACGCACTCGCGTTGTGTCCGTCCTTTATTCGCAAAATAATCGTTTAAGCAGCCCGCCTAGTGTACTTCAGTCGGTTACCACGTGCTTTCAGGTGAAGGAGTCTCTTAATCGCGTTCGTGAGTGTAGTGTCGTGTTAATTAATAAATTGCATCGTTATCGTTTCTCCGCGGATCACGTTCGGTCGCGTTCAACGTCCGATGAATAATATGTCGTCCACTCTAAAATATTTCAAGAAGGTCCCGATTTACATTGTAGAACCCCATGACGAGGTGTGTTCTTCGAATGGTCAACCTCTCGGTTTGTTTATATCGCGACTCGGCTTGCCCGAGTCCGAATTTCCTCGTTGACACGCCAGAGGCGCTATGTACACTTTGGCGGTAAATCACGTGACCGGTCACATGACCGAGAGTTCGTTGGTTGAATCTGGGCAAGTCGAAGTCATACTACGCAAAAACCGAGTTTTCGGGAAATTATTTACTTTTCGGCAGGTGCTACCGTTCATTTATCGATGCTTAGGATCGAAGCATCTTCCGTTCGAGGGAAACACGTTCGTGCACCTAGACTCTCATCCCGATATGCTTATACCGAAAACAATGACGGCGGACACAGTGTTGGACAAAAATCTGTTGTTTAGGTATTAACAATTTCTTTATGCATACAATAATACAGTTTTATATCATTCCTGTTCGTCATATATGTAATAGCTATTAGTACTAATGTTTAACCCCTTAAGGACCATAGTCGTATTAACATGGTTCCTATTTTGTATCAGATTTTCCTTCAGCCATGTTGGTAGGTTCCCAGTTTTCCATTTATTAAATACATAAAAATATTTCTAGAAATTTCTATTTTTGTAAAATAATTCGGTTTTTAAGTGGTTAATTCATACGATATTATTAAAAAGAGCATAAATCAAATTAATGCCTTGAGGTACCAATAATTCATTGCAATCTACGTTTTGATTTGTGTACTTTTTTAAAATTAAAAGTTCAAGATCACATTGCCGGTTAATAGTGGCCATGGTAGATGTGTACAGTTGGGGAGAGTAAATCAAATGATACAAATCAATATATTTAAAGGAAAGTAAAGTTTCTTTTAGAAAATTTCTTTTCTCGTAACATGTTTATAGAATTTGTTAATATAAATTGAAAAAACGATAAATACATTAAGAAGTTGGATTGTTTCTGAGACATGAAACTGTGTACTATTGTTAATAGTGAAATTAGTATCGAGAACTGGATGTTACCCGCTGCGTACGCTGGCCACTTGAAGCACCTGATCTGGGTCAAACCACCGTGGGCTAATCAGATGGTCGACTCCGTGACAACCTTCCTCATCGGCAAGCATAAGGACAACGGATTAATAAGGTAAGTGCTGATTGTTTCATCTTCTTTACGCCAATTGATCGTTTACGAACGATCCATTTCTGTGTTTATAATTGCAATAAGGATAAGATGAATGAAATTGTATTTATAATGAACAAAGCGTGGAGAATGATTCGTGAGTCACGAATCGTGGCTATATCTGAATTACATATGCGTTTGAAAGGCGTACGATGCTCTTTTCGGTTATCTATAATGCACACGCGACGTGGTCATGGAATACGCGGAACAATTCGCAAATTGCGCTCAGATAAAATTCCAGATAAACACACGCGTTCGGACCGAGAATTATTACACTCCTTTACTCGCCTAGAGGGTGAGTGTCCGTGTACACGTGGCGATTAGCGTACATACACGGATACTTTGGTTCGTGTACATTTCGGATAGCCTTGGCATAATGTTACATGTGTTCTTTCGTACCGAGACAAGAATCAGAAAATTGTCGACAGGTGGTTGATGCTTTTGTGCCAAGCGTTGAATCTCATAATCGGCCATTGCGTGATGATTTCTTATTCGACAAAAGAACGGAATAATCAATTACAACATTTTCTAATTAGAATTTCTCTCGAACGATAGCGAACGATGTTTGACAAAGACAGAGTAGAGAATTATCACAACCGTGCATCCGGTTGCACGGTTGTTTCACCATTTCGTTTTGGCGCAAGTTATTTTCTACTTGAAAAATGGCAATAAATCGCCCGGTATCATTTTTCATGGTTGGACGGCTGGCGTGTATCCATTACGGCTACATTGTTACATCGTTGACCAACTATTTAGAGTTGGAACTTGTTTCGATGGTAAAAATCGCGCGAGATCATTACGCGAAACACATTCGAGTGTTCGACGTCGCGACGAAGTATTGAAAGTCATAGCATTGGATCGCGGAACGGTAACGTAAAATACTATAGGGTTTGAACATGATTTACGAACAGTGCGTACGTATGTACGAGTGCATGTATATCCCGATTTTACTGTTCTACCACGGTTCCTTGTACGCGCGTCATTCAATAATATGAATAGTTTACTCCTCTGTTATAAACGCAGAGTCTAATTAAAAAAGTATTTAAACCCGACGAATTACTATATTTATAAAAGCGTGATATAGTATTTTATAAGTACAATTGTAGGACAATTAGATTTGTCATCTGGATGCGATTTCGTTGGTCTCCGACCAATTGTTGAAAGTGCTCGTTCAACGCCACGTTTACTTGACTTTGGATTTCACCAAGTTATTTCTTGTTCCGTAAATCATTGCCTATACGAGCGGAAGACGTTGGTTTCAGTGCTTAAAACATCAAACAGCAATGTTTCGAAAATGGAAACGCGTGACTTTCGCCGTTTCGCTTTTCAAATGAACGTCAACTTCGATCAGCTCCGGTGAACACTGAAAACGTCTTGAACGTCGGTTTACACGGAAAGGGAAAGGTGGTTGACACGCGTCGCGACGAAAAGTCGTTACAGTCGGTTAATCTGCAACTGAAGGGGTTAAGACTCCGGTTGACAAGACGCGAGGGTAAACGCGGAACGGGGCGGGACGGGAAGGGACTTGACGGGAAGGGGGTAAAAGTAAAAAGGCAGGTAAAGTAGCAAAGGGAAGCCGACACTGTGCGCCGCGGCGATATCTGCCAAGAAACTGGTGGCCGTGATGTAGCGCTCCGTTGGGACTTGAGTCATGTTTCTCGAATTACCGTGGATATATGTCCGTGTACCGTGAGCGAAGCACGCGAATTATGCCGTTGTCAAGACTTCGTCCGCGAGCCCGCGCGTTTCCGTTAATTCCTTATCCAATAAATATTTCGATTACGCCGACTCCGTTCCACGGAATCCCGGCCATTCGCCTAAACAGGCAAAGACGTCCGCCGCAACGGTCTAAATATTCGATAAATGCTTAACGATCTGGGAAATCGGACGCAATTAAACCGAGCCTAAGGATTGGGTTGTTACAGGGAGTGATGAATAGCCTGGCTGTAGTGTGCAATTATTCTCGATTTATTCTTGATTTACAACGTGATTAGATTGACACTCCATATTCCGTACGTGCAAACATTTTTCACGATTCATCAAATTCATTCCCAATACAATAAGTTGAGTATAGTAAATTTATGTGAAGTCCCTGATAGAACACTGGACCATTAATTACGCCTAGCTACTATTAAAGTGAATTGTGATAAAATGTTGCCAGTGTTGCGATACAAAAATTTGTCAGGTAGCAATAATTGCCTCGTTCGGAGTATGGTGGGTAAAATATCCTTCTGATAAGATCTAAAATACGATGCCATCGGCCGCGTTTCGTCGAAGTTACATAGTCGTGTGTACCCACGCGCAGGTGCCGGTCGGGTTGATTTGCATCGACGGCATGCAGGATGTACGACGTTTTAGTATATTTTCACCATCTCCTTTAATAGTTTAATATCTTAGACTTTAACCGTCGATGCTTTACAAAAGAAAGAGTTTCTACATGGTGTATATAGAGTATTTTGGCTCGCATTGTTATTCCCTTATCTTCGTGGAATTATGTGTGTTTACCTGTTCAATTGAAGAAATTTGTTTTTTCTTGCTTACATATCCACGCGTTTTCGTTGGTAACTCGGCTTTTCACTGTCGTCAAGTAAAGGCTGAAGAAGCTCGGTCGCTGGGGAGACCGCGACAATGGACAATGGAATAATCTACAATAGAGATCCGCTCGGAGATTCCATGCCGAATGAATAGGACTTCTAGGACAATCATCTCGTAAACTCGGTTTCTTTGCACGCCCTTCTTACCCTATCGTTCCGCGGCCAGTGTTCCGTGTGTGTTTCGTGATTCTACGCAGGAATCCGAATCACTTACATGAGCGACGCTGCTCTGAGTAAGGAAGCTTCCCAACCGGGGGACAAACGCGACCTACGTTACTTTATACCCAGTTACGGTGATTCAATCACCCGGCCGAGTTCCTTTCGTTGTTCGCCGATGGTAAAAAGCGGCCAGCATCCAGCCGACAAATTACGCAATTTGCAAGACAACGGGAAAGTTTTGATTCGCTTAATCGCTTTCTTCGATCGCGGGGTCGTTGCGACACGCGAGATTTTCCGCGAAGGAACAGTACCTAAATTGCAACAGGGTAGAAGGATTCCTGGGTGTCTCAAGACAGCGATACCTCTCGGTATGCGGGGAACGTGAGTCGCACGAAAACACTTACGTAATTCGGCCCCCTCTGTTCATTTTTTTCCCCTACTGCTTGGTATCTATGTTCGTCGTGGATCTCGAGCATTCCTCGGATTTTCTGGAAAAACGGCACCGATGTCACGGAATACGGGATCAGCGTAACGTGTCCCCATACCGCGACCGCGCCGTAGAAGCGAAATACCTGAGAGACCCGACTTCGCTGTCCCGGTTCTTTGAATACCGGTATGGTAGAAGCACGCCGAGATTTTCACCCGGTGTCTTAATCGCATAACTCGTTCCCGGTAACGCAAGCCTGGCTTATATTTCCTGCCTTTTTCCCGGGGAACGTTTATCACCGCATTAGGAACACAAGTTGTAGAAAAATTCACGGATTGTAGATTACAAATTATTCTCCGCGCGTCACCGTTTTCGAACAGCCCTTCTTTGTTTCGACTCGGCGTGATCCTGCGATCTTACGTTCGCGCGGGTAATTGTTCTGCGGGAACGTCTGAATTCCGCGAAATCGGTTCTAATTCAATTTTCACCCGCGGTCGTTGTCTCTCGGCCTGTTGCTCAAATATTCATGGCGTAGGCGTGTCTTCTTTTTCACGGCACGTATCTAATTGCGAGCGTACGGAATTTCAAGCCCTGAGCGTTCGATTGAATTCGATCGCATTCGTGTTTGAGACGGACATCCTATCGTCAGATATGGAAGGATCCGATCAAATGGAATAATTACGAAGAAGTGTACGATATTCACTAATTGAAATCCCTGTTAGCTTTTGTATAAATCGATCTTATCCAACGAGCCTTCTTTTACATCCGCGTGATCATTGTCGAAGGGAACGTCGTACATTTTTCCAGCTGACGCGCGAAGCTATCGGTTTCAACGAAGGTCGCAGGTAATTAACATAAACGCTTCGTGCAACCCGAAGGCGTGACGTCGCTGATTCGATGCCGATAACGCATCGTGACTGCATCGGGCCGCATCTGCACGTGCATCGCGTGTGCCGCGCGTTGAATTCGTTCTCCGGGAGATCGCGAGGATTCTTGTTCACCGGTGAACGTTAGAGAGGCCTGAGTGTTGTCCAATTGGTACCCTTGATTTCCATGGCATCCAATGGTCGACGATGGTACACTTTCCAGGAAGAGGTGGCCCCCGCAGAGTAGGAGGATAGACAGGCCGCGAGTAGTGGGAGAGATTGCAGTAGATGGTGAACGCAATCGTCAGCCATCGATATTTCTTTTCCCCTGATCGCCAGCTTTGACTGACCGTCATCTGTCGCCATCCACTGGTCTTTTACGATGATTGAACGTCATCAAAAACTTTCTGTTTCTGTACTGTCCTTTAATTTATTCTACTTTAAGTATTTCAACATCATATGTGATTGAACTCGCTGACCGTGAATGCTGACGATTTTACATCACTTTTAGATAACTATTAATCAAACTGATATTAAGAATCCGGCTCTTTCCATACGCGTTTCGCAACAGAGCACGGCCGTCGTCAGGTTAAAAAGAAAATTATCGCTCACTCGCGGATGAGAACTTACATATGGATTCAATCAGAGTACATTTCCAATTATTTCTCGTAGCCGCTATCTGATTCCATCGAGTAGTCGATCCATCATCATTAATGCCGGTGAATGAAACCGGTACAAGTATATTTTGAGAAATGGCAGAACCGTACGTAGCAACACCTGGCCGCGTAATCAGCGTGGACAAATAAAAGAGTATTTTCTCGAAAGGGTGCTCTCGGCAGAGGTGATGGCAGGTCAGGGCCGGGAAGGTAGCGAAGGAACACGTCTCAAGTCGCGGGCAGGAGCGTGGGCGCCAGTTGG